CGCAGGGTCTGAGGGCTGCCCGGCAAACCCTGAAGCCGGTAGCACTGGGGCAGCCCTTTCCCCCTGGCTGGGAGTGGAAGGGAGGAGGGGGCGGAGTTAGGGTGGAGAAGGGGCGGAGTTGGGGCGGGTTGGGGGGTGGGGAAATGGGCGGGGCCAGGGCCCGTGGAGGGTCCTCTTTTTTTATTTCTGAGATATGGTAACCCTACTGTTGGAGCAGGACAGGAGTCAGGCCTCCTGTGTCTTATTCCCAGCTGTGGCAGGGAGGGACCATCTGGTGGTTAGAGTAGGTAGGACTAGGGGACAGGACTCCTGGCCTCTGTTCTTGAAGTGGGTTCTAGCCCACGAAAGCTTATGCCCAAATACATTTGTTAGTCTCTAAGGTGCCACAAGGACCCCTCGTTGTTTTTGCTGATACAGACTAACACAGCTTCCACTCTGAAACTAGTCCTTGTGTAGTCTTTGGGCAAGAAGACCCCATCTCTGTGCCTTCCTTGCCCATTCGGGACACTGGAGATAACCGGTTTTGACTCTACCCCTGTACGCTGCTCTGAGTCCCATGGGATGAAAGGCAGCTCTCAAGGGGGCAAGTGCTGTTAAGAGGCAGGAGTGGGACAAAGAGGGTTAAATTAACACGAACTCCTCTTGTGTCCCAGCTGCTTGGCTACTTGTTCTGCCCAGTTTGTACTTCCCTCTACAGAAACTTCTTCTTCAGAGTTTTTTGCAAAGAAGTTCTCGTTCTGGGGGGATTCCCAGTGAGACATTGGTCTTCTTGCCCTCGCTTTTCCTGTATTCTTCCCCTTCTGAGCTGCAGTGGCTTTTGGGGCTGGGCACTGCTGAGCTGGCCCTCTAACAGAGAAACCACATGCCTCATTGCACAGACCCTCCAGGTGAGAAAAGAGTTGGTGAGCAGAGTCCCCAGCAGTGGGAAAGAAGCCCCCTTGGGCTCTGAGAAAGGGGAGGAGAAAAGCTTTTAATCTGCCCAGCTTTGATGGTTTGCTGTTTCCCTTGTGATGCCTTCACTCACACTAAGTGCCTCTTCTCCTTCAAGCTTCTTAGGCTGCTTTACAGCCCTTCCTCTTAATTTGCCCCCAAATAGCTGATGCCCCCACGTGCTGCAGAAGGCCCAGGTGAACTCAAGGCTTTGAGTTTCTCTTGAAAGACCAACCGGAGGAAATAGGAATCTGGGGACTTTTGGGAAGGGGTGGAATTGGGGCGAGGGCAGTGCAGGGGTGGCGCTGGGGTGGGGGATGGGGGGGTTGAGCACCCACCGGGAACAGTGGAAGTCGGCGCCTATGGCTGAGTGCATATAAAGAACCTATGTACGATGGATGAGAAACCTGGAGCTGCCTAAAGTCAAAGACAGGGAGAGTGTGAGGAATTAACATGAACTTCAGACTCTTGAGTCAGCTCTTCACTCCGTGCAAACGGGCACAGCTCCATCGGCTTCAGCAGAGCTATGCTGACTTAGACCAGCTGAGGATCTAGGCGCAGATCTCCACTGACACTCTTGAAGGGGATTGGTCAGTTATACACACAGGGAGATGTGAATTCTCTTTTAGTAGCTGAGTCAATGCATTAAAGCCACCTCCAGCTGCTGAATTTCTCAAGAGAAAGTTGGGTTTGATATGAACCCAGAATCCTGAGCGGGGTGACTTCCCTTTGTCCATCTGGTAGCCAGGGCCAGCTTTAGGCCAATTCAACCAATTCCCCTGAATCGGGCCCCGTGCCCAAGCCCCAGTACGGCGTACCGGCAAGAGCCAGTGCGCCGTACCTGGGTGGCCCAGCTTCCCCAGGGGGCAATTTAGAGGGCCTGGGGCTCCCAGCAGGGGCTGGAGCCCCAGGCCCTTTAAATTGCCACCAGAGCCCCACTGCTGGAGCCCTGGGGTAGGGCTGCAGGGCTCTGGGGGCTATTTAAAAAGTCCGGGGCTCCCGTTGCTTCTACCGTCCCGGCCCTTTAAATAGACGCTGGAGCCCTGCCGCTTTCCCAGGGCTCCCGTGGCTATTGGAAGGGCTGGGGCGGTGGAAGCAGGGGAGCCCCGAGCCCTTTAAATAGCCCCCAAGCCCCGGGCTGCTGCTGCTACCCTGGTGGGGGAGGGAGGAGGAGGGGGCACTTACCGTACAGGGTGGGCTGTTCCCGCACCCTCTGCTCACACCAGCCCCACACCCCCTGCCCTGCCCGCAGCCAGCCCCTGCCGCACCCCCTGCCCTGCCCACAGCCAGCCCCTGCCGCACCCCCTGCCAACAGCCAGCCCCTGCCGCACCCCACTGCAGCCCTGACCGAAGCCAGCCAGCCCCACACCCCTCCTGTCCGCACCAGCCCTGCACCCCCTGCCCTGCCTGCAGCCAGCCCTGCACCCCCTGCCCTGTCTCCAGCCAACCCCTGCTGCACCCCCCTGCCTGAAGCCAGCCAGTCCCACACTCCTCTGTCTCCAGCCCTGCCAACCCATGCCGCACCCCCCTGCGGCCCTGCCTGAAGCCAGCCAGCCCCACACCCCCTTGTCTCCAGCCAGCCCTGCACCCCTTGCCCTGCCTGCCGCCAGACCCTACCTCCAGTCAGCCCCTGCCCTGCCTCCAGCCAGCCCCATATCCACTGGTGCCCTGCAGTTCCCAGGGCAGTAACCCTGTACACCTGCTTCAATGAGGGGGGCAGGGAGCAGCTGGGACCCACACATGTGAAACGGAGCTCATTTCTAGTTCAGGCCCATCTTTTTAAAAAAGAACTTTGGGTAGGGTTAACATACATCCGTATTTTCCCGGACATGTCAGGCTTTTTGGTTCTTAAATCGCCGTCCGGGAGGAATTTTTAAAATTTAAAAAATTCCTCCCGGGAAAATACGGACGTATGGTAACCCTATTGGTACAAAAAATACATACTGTGGCACATCCCTTAAATCAGAACTTTTTATAGGGAACCAGTTGCTAAGAAATGAAAGGCTTTTTTTAACGTGGTTTTTTTTTTAGTCATCCCTGCCGGGGCCCCGCCGAAAATGTTCGACTTGGGCCCCGCACTTCCTAAAGCCGGCCCTGCTGGTAGCTGTTGGTTAGCTTGTCTGTGACAGACAAGATTGGCTTACTGCTGAACCAAGCTGCCTTTGCCCAAACGGCCCCAGTTCCCTAGGAAAGTGGCTCTGAACCTTTCCAGACGACCGAACCCCTTTCAGGAGTCTGATTTGTCTTGTGTACCCCCAAGTTTCACCTCACTTACAAAATCTTGCTTACAAAATCTGACATAAAAATACAAAAGTGTCACAGCCCACTCTTACTGAAAAAATGCTGACTCTCATTTTTACCCTATACTTATAAAATAAATCGATTGGAATATAAATATTGTACTTACATTTCAGTGTATAGTATATAGAGCAATATAAGCAAGTCATTGTCTGTATGAAATTTTAGTTTGTACTGACTTTGCTAGTGCTTTTTATGTAACCTGCTGTAAAACTAGGCAAATATCAAGATGAGTTGATGTATCCCCTGGAAGATCTCTGTGTACTCCAGGGGTACCTGTACCCCTGGTTGAGAACCACTGCTCTAGGAGAGGCTTGCCGTGCATGGGAGTGGCACTGGACCATACAGTCTGATTTCCCTCCATTTACAATCTCTCTGCTTTCCAGATGAGCAATACTGTGGCCAGGAAATGCAGGAGCAGTGGGAGGGACTAGGCAGCAGCAGAATCAAATGGGAAGAGGCAGGAGAGGGCTCTTTTTAAATCTAGCAATAGCCTAAGTTCCAGATGTATTTTCTTTCTTTTTGTTTTTAATAAAATTTACCTTTTTTAAGAACAGGATTGGGTTTTTTGTGTCCTAAGAGGTTTGTGCATGTGTTGTTTAATTAGCTGGTGGCAACAGCTGATTTCCTTTGTTTTCTTTCTCAGCTCTTCCCTGGGGGGGGGGGGGAGAGAATGAAAGGGCTTGAGGGTACCCCACAGAGAGGAATTCCCAAGTGCGCCTTCCTGGGTCCAAAGGGGTTTTTTTGCACTTGGGTGGTGGCAGCATCTACCCATCCAAGGTCAGAGAGAAGCTGTAACTTGGGAGTTTAATACCAGCCTGGTAGGGTGACCAGACGTCCCGATTTTATCGGGACTGTCCCGATATTTGCTTCTTTGTCCCGTGTCCTGACCGATGTTTGGTCGGGACACTGGACAAACAAGAAATGTTACCCTCCTGGAGGGACTCTCACCCCCCCACTCACCCCGGCTCCACCCCCTCCTTTCCCCATTGGCTCCCTCCCCAAATCCCCGCCCTGGCCCCACCTCTTCCCCAACCACGCGGCATTCCTCCTCCCTCCCAGGGTTGCAGCTGCATGGCGGCGCAAGCCGGGAGGGAGGGGGGTGGTGGCGGCGCCTGGATCCTGGAGCTGGTGAGTCAGCTCCGGCACCCGGGCACCGGGCGGGCAGGCAAAGGGGAGCTGACAAGGGAGTGAGACAGGGGGGTTCACTTCTGAGCCCCCCGCCGCGCCAGAGGGTTCCTGCCCAGCCCCCAGGCTGCTGCACACAGGGGCCCGGGGCCGGGAGCGCAGCACGGAGGCTGCTCCAGCCCTGCAGCCCGCGGGGCAGCGCGGTGGGTCCGGGCAGGGGC